GAGTAATAAAAACATTATAAGTTTTGATAAAGACAAGTATTTACATATTTTAATTTCAAAAAAAATTAAAATATGTAAAATGAATAAAATAAGAGTAAATGAAAAAAATGCAGATAAATGACATGACAGAATAAATAAAAATGATTAAGACTTATGAGGCTAAAGGTTTAAAGAGAAAGATATATCTTACTTAAAGATATAAAACAGTCTCACTAAATATGAGAAAATAAAGTAAAATTTTAGAATATATGTCTTATTCATAATGTTATATTTGATTTTTGGAAGTTTAAAAGAAAAGACTATATATATATTTATAATATAAAATAAAATCTAAAAAAACATAGTTATTTTAAAAGAGGGACTATCGATAATGAAATGATTGAGAATCACTTCATATTTTTCATATATTCATACAATATAATTAAGAGAAAAAAATAATTTCATTTCAATTCAAATCAAATATTATTTTACTTCTACATATTCTAGTATTTTTTAGTTAGCCACTAATAGGAGCATTTCCAATGGTTAGATACTCTATAGATATCTACCCAATATTTTAGTTTAAGAAATTTTGCTTAGGTCTTTATGTCAATGGTAAGATACTGAATGAGTTTTTCATTAATATAATAAACAATTTATTTTAAAATATTTCATTAATTTGAGAATTTTAATATTTGTCAAAGAATTTAAATATATATAAATAAAATAATTAGTCATATTTTGAACTATAATAGTAAATATAATAAAATTGCCAATTTTAATAAGCTTAATACCAATATTACTAATACATTGTAAAACATATAACAAAAATAGTGCAAAATAATTAAATCTTTTAATTTATAACACAAAAATAATAAAATACTTATATCCTAGAACAAACTTAATACCATAAGAAACCACATTAAATACTTATGTCTCGAACTAACTTAATAATACCATAATCAACCACATTAGTAGTGAAACAATTGTTAACATTTTCAAAGCTTGTTATCTCAACCGGACCATAAAATCGCAATCTTATGAGGAACTTTTCAAGATTAGCACGAAACGAATAGAACAAATATTCTTCTGGTATTTCAGCGTTCTCGAAATCCCATAATGTATAAACCTTGTTGTTTTGGGGATTAGGAGTCACTCCACATATGTCCGTCCAAGTAACGATCGCTCGAAAGCATATTCAAAAACATCAAATCTTATGGAGCCTAAAAAAACATCAAATCTATATAAGATAAAAAAAAATATCAAGTCAATTTATATATTTGATTGTGACACAATCTTGAAGTCATAATTGACAACCAATTGAATGAGAGAGGCTCTTTGAACTTGTTCAAACAGTGTAACTTGATAATGACTAGATTTTGTAAAACATGTTTATTGATGAGGATAAATCCAAAATTGTCTGTTTATAATTTATCACAATCGTTAGTTTAGAAGCAGAAAAAAGCAATTTAGAGGTTGGCCACATTTTGCACATATTGACTATGAATAAGTGGTGAAACAATATTCAAATCGGCGAAACATATTTGATTTAGGTTAAATAGTGTTTGTTTTTCTTTGATGATCTTAATTTTTCCTCTCATCTACTACGATTGGAAAGAAGCTAAATTGTTGCTGATATAATAAATCATCCAAAAATTTTCACAGTTTTAATGAATTTTGTCCATGCTAACGACATCATGAGTACTGATATAAGTTCTCTGATATCTTGGTGTTTTAAAAAATCAAACATTTAGTATATGTTGTTAAGATGATTTTTTTTTTTTTTGTGTCAGGCAAGTTGATCAATATACTATTTGCAACATCCTTAATTTTGGACATCACTTGTCGTCATTGTTTTGAACAATGTTTTGAAAACCGGACCGAATCGGAGGTCGGACTGGGTTCAACCGCGAACCGCCCGGCTAGCCGGGTTGGGTTGACCCGAGTTTGAGTTTTTTTTTTTTTTTTAAATTTCTATTTTTTTAAATTTAATTTTTTTATGATTAAAATTTATAGAAACAAATACTAGTTTTGAATTTAGTTAATTTTTGTTATGAATTAATGTTTTTAATTTTTTTTTACATATAAACTTAACTATTTCTCATTAAACTTTGTCTTTGAATAGTTTTTTTGTTATTAAAATGATTTTCTTCATGATTAATTTTTAAAAATATGTTTATTCAAAGGCTATATTATATATTTGGATATTATAGTTATACAAAAACTATTTATATTACTACTTTTTTTAAAACTATTA